CCAGAGATATGAAAAAATGTGCTCTATATGTGTAATAAGAGTTGTAATGTATTCCACTGTTATATATAAGTAAATATAAACAAGACAAAAAAAAAGGAAGGATCGAGAGCTGGGTTGTAGCCCAGTGGTAGAGTGCTTACATGTGAAAGGCACTGGGTTCAATCCTTAGCACCACATAAAAATAAAGGTATTGTGTCTTAAAAAAAATAAGAAGACTTGAGCTTGCATCTGCTGCTGCTTCCTTGTTCTTCCAACTTTTATTTTGTCCAAGTCACCATCCTTGGGGTCTCCACTTCAGTTGGCTATTCCACATGCCAATCATACCTAGAAACACCCTCAACGACACACTCAGAAACCTCTTAATCATTGGCATCTATTAATCCAATCAAGTTGACATTTCAAATTAACAAGTCCCCTCTTTGTCAACTTGATATCCAAATATGACTCTTTACATCACACTTAATCTCCAAATAAACAAAATGACAAGATCATAATTCCACCTAGCATAACTATTCTTCTGACAACAGAAAACGCACTAGTTCTTTTCCCAGAAAAGAAAAAAAAAAAGCAAAAACATTACTGATGTTAAGCCAATTAATATTACATTACGTGATGAGTAACAGGAAAGTAACAATCAATTTCTCTTAATGCATGTGTAAGTATGCACAAACATATTCTTAATGGAATAGGAAAAAAATATCAATGGCAATTACAATCCTGGTTTCTGTAACTGGTCATGTGGCCATAGTTGGTATTTATGACTCTTCTACTAGCTATTTTGTATTTTCTCTACCTTCAGCAAGCACCTCAGCAGGTCTTGGTTCTTTACCTGGAGGTGTGACCCACACCTTAATTCCTGAAAGGCCTGAGACATTTGTTGTCTTGCCTGGATTGGGTTGTGGTAGTTTCCCATTGACAGGGTAATATAAAGAGACACCCTAAGGGATCTCTTGCTCTCCGAGAGTATGCTTCCTTACCTCTATTGTGAAATAATAGTCCAATGTCCCCTTGGTAATCTGGATCAATCACCAGCACCATAACTCCCTTATTAGCCTATTGACTCAGAGACATGAGGAGCCCAAAGTGGCCAGGGGGAAGTCTTTAGCTTCAGTTTAATGAAATCATTGTTGTATTTCCTGGCAGAAGCATTCCTCCTTCTGGAACTAAGACTTCTAGGCCCACAGAGCAGGGACAGAAAGCAATAACTTTCCTAGTGGGTGACTCGGGTTAAGGGTGAGTAGTACCATTCCTGTCTCCACTCCTTGATTCCTGGACCCATGAATTCTAGCAATAGGAGTGACAGTACTATATAGTGGATGCTGATTCAGGGTATAGACAGCCTTCTGAAGAACCTTGCCCCCAGCCCTGCAACATATTGCCACCTAGCTGGCACTGTAACTGCATCTTCAAGAGTCCATTCCATCGTTCTATCAAATCAGCTCCTTCAGGATGGTGGGGAACATGGCAAGACCAGTGAATCCCATGAGCTATTGCCTCATTCTTTGGATGTGAAGTGAGTTCCTTGGTCCAAAGCAATGCTATGTGGAATACCATGACTATGGATAGGCATTCTGTAAATCCACAGATGGTGGTTTTGGCTGAAGCACTACATGCAGGAAAGGCATAGCCATACCCAGAATAAGGACAAACAGCTGCCCCTTCCATGATGGAAGTGGTCCAATATAATCAACCTGCCACCAGGTTGCTGGATGATCTCCCCAGGGAATGATGCCATATTAGGGGCTTAGCGTCAGTCTCTGCTGCTGGCAGATTGAACACTCAGCTGTGGCTGTAGCAAAACCAACCTTGGTGAGTGGAAGTCCATGCTGCTGAGCCCATGCATAACTGCCAACCCTGCCACCATGACCATTTTGTTCATGAGCCCATTGGGCAATGATGGGGTGGCTGGGGAAAGAGGTTAACTGCTATCTACATATTGGGCCATCCTACCGACTTGATTATTAAAGTCCTCCTCTGCTGAGGTCACCTTTTTGTGGGTGTTTACATGAGACACAGATATCATCATATCCTTTGCCCAAAGAGGTCTATCCACATATCTCTTCCAACAAATATCCTTGTCACAAATTTTCCAATTATGTTCTTTTCAGTTCCCTGACCAGTAGACAAACCACTGGCTACAGCCCATTCACACATCTAGCCATTTTTTTCTTCCAGGCAAAATGCACAACCAGATGCACTGCCTGAAGTTCTGCCCATTGTGAAGATTTCCTTTCACCACCATCCTTCAGGATTGTTCTAGAAAAGGGCAGCAGTGCTGCAGCTTTCCACTTCCTGGTGGTACCTGCATATCTTGCAGAACTGTGAACCAGGCCCTAGTCTTCTCTTCCTCTGTTAATTGATCATAAGGTACACCCCATGAAGCCATAGGTTCATGCTGAGGGACAGAAGGTACCATAGCAGAAGTAGGAAGCATGGGCATTTGGACCACTTCTTCATGCAGCCTACTTGTGCCTTTGGGTCCTGTCTGTGATGGATCACATATGTACCACTTCCACTTGATGATACAGTGCTGCTGTGCACATCCAACTTTATGACTTGTTGGGCCAGATAACTCCCAATTCATGATGGGCAGCTCAGGTAACATAGTAACCTGGTGGCCCATAGTCAAGTGTTCAGTTTCCATTAAGGCCCAGTAGCAGGCCAAGAACAGTTTCTCAAAGGGAGAGTGGTTATCTGAAGATGATGGCAAGGCCTTGCTCCAAAATCCCAATGGCCTCTTCTGTGATTCACCGATGGGGGCCTGCCAAAGGTTCCAGACAATGCCACTGACACTTCAAATACCATTGAGTCTGCTGGGTCATATGGCCCAAGTGGCAGAGCAGCCTGCATAGGAGTCTGGTCCTGTTCTGGACCCCAATCAAACCAAAAAGGTTTTCTAGTCACTTGGTAGATGGGCTGAAGTAACATCCACGTATAGAATCTGCTGCCTCCCAAATCTACCAGGTATTGTGCTTCTTTCTTATTTGTAGGAGAGGCCAGGTGCAATAACTTATCCTCTACCTTAGAAGAAATATCTCGGTAAGCCCCACCATTGGACCCCTAGAAACTTTACTGAAGTTGAAGGCCCTTGAATTTTAGTGGGATTTATTTCCCATCCTCTGATACACAAATGCTCCACTAGCAAGTTCAAAGTGATTGCTACCTCCTGCTCAGTAATCAACATAATGTCATCGATATAATGGACCAATGTAATACATTGTGGAAGAGAAAGATGAACAAGTCTCTGTGAACTAAGCTGTGACACAGTGCTGGAGCTGACATACCCCTGAGGAAGGACAGTTGAAGGTATATTGCTGGCCTTGCCAGCTGAAAGCAAATCATTTCTTGTGGTCCTTATGCACTGAGATGGAGGGAAAAAGCACATGCCAAATCAATAGCTACATACCAGGTACCAGGAGATATATTAATCTGCTCAAGTGAAGAAACCACATCTGGTACAGCAGCTGCAACTGGAGTCACCACCTGATTAAGCTTATGATAATCAACTGTCATTCTCCAAGACCCATCTATCTTCTGCACAGGCCAAACAGGAAAGTTACATGGGGATGTTGTGGGAATCACCAGCCCCGCATCCTTCAAATCCTTAATGGTGGCACCAATCTCTGCAATCCCTCCAGTGATGTGATGCTGCTTTTGATTCACTATTTTCCCAGGTATAGGAAACTCCAGAGGCTTCCATTTAGCCTTTTCCACCATAACAGTCCTCACTCCACAGGTTAGAGAATCATTGTGGGAGTTTTGCCAAGTGCTAAGTATATCTATCCCGATTACACATTTTAGGACTAGGGAAATAAACACAAGATGAGTTTGGGGGCCCATTGGACCCACTGTGAGTCAGACCTTGGCCAAAAGGCTATTGATCACCTGACCTCCATAAGCCCCTACTTTTATTGGAGGGCCACAATGACGTTTTGGGTCTCCTGGAATCAATTCAGAGCTGTCTAGTAGTCCCTGAAAGTTCTGATCATTGCCTTTTCCCCAATACACAGTTACCCTGGTAAAAGGCCTTAGATCTCTTTGAGGAAGGATGGGAGAAAGATTAACAGTAAAAAAACAGATTTTTGGTACTGTACTAGGGTCCTTCCACAAGGGGACCTGGCCTCCCCTTAATTCAAGGGGTTCTAAATCTGTAATTAACTCATATCTGGGAAGCAGTTGAGGGATCATGATTCTCTGTTGTTATGATCTAGGGCAGACTTTTGTAAATTTGCCCTGGAATTTTCCTGCTTATATTAGTCAAGTAAGAATTTGGTGGGTTTTCCATCTATTTGGCTTCTAGAGACACTATGATTAATTAGACAATGCCAGAGATCTATATGATACGGGTCAGAACATTGCATCCACTTCTTCCCCTTTGCTGTCCATTATGGTAACTATGATCACCTGTCTTTGGCAACTGAGCGCTGCCACTGGGCCCCTTCCTCCCCGAGACCACAGTTCCCACAGTAATGTCTGGCATGCAAAGAAGAGCAACCACAGAGCTCTTCAAGGATGCTGATGACACCTCACAAATTTGTTTCTTATAGTTTTGGTGAAGGGTACAACTTCTGGACCCTCCAAGTATGGGGAGAAAGGTTGTACATGACAGATTTATTCCAGCATTCCAATCTCTCTGAGCCTCTGAATTCCCTCATTAACAGTAAACCAAAGGATGTCAGGCATTTCCAGCTCATTTATAATAGGCCATCTTTGAACCCATATTTCAGCCAACCAGCCACACAAACTGTTAGTACCCTTTTAAACACTGAGCTATTACCTTACATCTAGAATCTCTGCTAAATGGGCCAATATCAATAATTTAGCCTGAATCTAAGTTTATGTTCCTTCCATTCAGAAGCCTTTTAATCATTGGCATCTCTTAATCCAATCAAGTTGACAATTCAAATTAACCATTCATCATAACCTGGAATGTGCTTTTAAGTATTTTGGTGTTCCATGCAATGTATATAGCCCAATAGTACCCTGTACAATACCAGGGGTTAATAGTGGTTTTAAATAAATTTATTAAGCCTTTTGAATGCTGTTTATATGGAGACATTTCAGCTAAAGACCTCTATTCAAGAGTTGCTTCATTGTCCATAAGGAGATTGGAAGGTGTTTTCCTTCTTTCTGGCATAATAAAATCGGCTTGTCCTGGTGAAAGCTGGGGAAACGTAAAATCAATATATTTTTGAAATGCTGCTCTGGTTTCCTGTAGTTCCTCCTCCAGAAAATCTTTCCAGTTTGTCATGATTCCCAGTTGGTTTACTATGGACAGCAGCTCCTCCTGAGTGTTAACCAGCTTATCCATCACATTACCAAGAGTGGCCTGGTGTGTTTTCTCAGCTTCCTGAAGCACTTCCTGCGCCTCTTCTTGCTTTTGTTTCTGAGCTATGCCATAGTAGATGTTCATTTCATGTTCCTTTTCTTTTATTATCTGGTTAAAGTTCATCCTCTGGTCCTTAATGATGGATGCACCAGTATTCAGGAGTTCATCCATGGCCTTGCTACAAAAAAATGATACAGATTTATTTTTTTTTTATTGGTTGTTCAAAACATTACAGAGCTCAAGACATATCATCTTTCATACATTCGACTCAATTGGGTTTTGAACTCCCCAAATACATAATACAGACTCACTTCTGTTACATACTCACATTTTTACATAATGGCATATTAGTGACTGTTGTATTCTGCTACCTTTCCTATCCCCTACTATCCCCCCTCCCCTCCCCTCCCCTCCCAGCATCCCTCTCTACCTCCTCTGCTGTTGTTCAATTCTCTCCCCTTTTTTTCCCCCCACCCCCTTGCCCCTCATAACCTCTTATTATTTTGTGTATCACTGAAGGTCTCCTACCATTTCCATATGTTTTCCCTTCTCTCTTCCTTTCTCTCCCCCCATTCGTCTTAGTTTACTGTTAGTCTTTTCCTCATGCTCTTCCTTCCTGTTCTATTCTTAGTGGCTCTCTTTATATCAAAGAAGACATTTGACATTTGTTTTTTAGGGCTTGGCTAGCTTCACTTAGCATAATCTGCTCTAATGCCATCCATTTCCCTGCAAATTCTATGATTTTGTCGTTTCTTAGTGCTGCATAATACTCCATTGTGTATAGCTGCCACAATTTTTTTATCCACTCATCAGATTTATTAATTAGATGGATTACCTACTAAAAACAGATTGATTTTCACTATATCCACAGATGTATAAGAAATCATTACATTACTGAGATGAGACAGGCTGCTGTAGAGAGCATTAGCAATGAATCAAAAATTTTTTTTTTCATAACAAGGAGGCTATTCAGCTTCTCTGCTGTGGGATAGAGCAAGGCCTCTAGTCTAATGTCTCATGGTACATTTGGGGACCTGCATTCACTTTAGCCAGAAAAAAATATGAATAGTTTTGCTTAAAAATGAAGAAATAATGGCTGGGGTTGTGGCTCAGTGGTAGAGCGCTTGCTTAGCATGTGTGAGGCACTGGGTTTAATTCTAAGGACAATAAATAAACAAACAAACAAATAAATAAATAAATGTCCTTCGACAACTAAAAAATAATAATTTTTTAAAATGAAGAAATAGTTTCAAACTTACATACTCCTAGAGAAAATATATCAACCCAGCTACTTGATTTTAGCCAAAGGGAAGAAAACTCTATACCTATGGCCTAGATTTAGCTTTAACCCTGATTTTATCTGAGAGGTGTTCAAGGACAGCCATTTCAGATTTATTTGGTCTCAGGATCCCTTTTATACTCAAAGTTACACTTTTACACTCGAGGTTACTAAGGGCCCAAAGATCTTTTGTTTATATGAGTTGTATCTATTGACAGTACTAGAAACTAAATATAGACATTTAAAAATATTTATTAGTTAATGTAAAAATAACAATAAATCAATTACACATGAACTTAAATATTTTTGTGAAAACCATCTCTTCTAAAATAATAAAATATTTGGTGAGAAGAGTGGCATAATTTTTTTTAATATTGTTTAAAGTCTGGCTACATAAAAGCTATGCTTTCATATTATTTCAATTTATTGTGATATTATACACCATAAAACCTCTGGAAAATTTCACTATACATTCATTAAAAAATGAGAGTGAAAAAAGCAGAATCATCAAGAAAGTATTGTTGATTTCATGGATACTCCTCAAATGTCTCAAAGACCCTGAGGGTCCTTGGACTATGTTTTCAGAAGCACTGTTGAATGATTCAGATGTCTGGTTATAATGTATATAGTTATATATAATTTATAGCAGCCAACCCTTTGACCTCTTACCAGGTACCAAACTTCTGTTCAAGTTAACTCACTGACTTCTCAAAAACAATTCTGTGAGATAGTTCTGTTATTATGCTCAATTTAAATAACTTGTCCATCTTCACTTTTAGTAAAAGTGGCAAAATCAGCATCACAACCCATGCAGTCTTAATTCAGGGCAAAAATTCTCAGCCACTATGATAAATCTCTAGTGGATTTCTATAGTTTACATAGTCTGAGAAGAACCTCTGAAGATCTGAGAATAAATAAATCTGCAAATGTTGGATTCAAATACTTACAACTGTTAATAAAATCCCTCCTGCTTCCCAATTTAACATAGCCTTTCCAAGATTTACCACTTACTCTATTGTCCAAATTCCTTCCTCCAAGATGCAATTAATCCTCTCATCTCTTATTGTTCCATCTTGACTTTTAAATTTGACAGCCTTGAACTAAACATCATTGTCCTTAGCTTCTCTAGTTACTAGACTATTTTTCTTCCTTTCCCACCAACTAAGCTATATCCATTATTGATAGCAAGTGTATCATTGGACACTGTGTCCCAGGGACTTTGCTAAGCTTTTTATATTTATTATATCTCATTTAATTTTCATAAGAACACAAAGAAGCTGGTACTATTTTATTTATTATTATTCACATGTGATAGGTGAGAAAATTGAGCCTTAGAGAGATTAAGTTATTTAATATTGCAAGGGGAATTGAGCAAGGGGAAGAGATCCTACCCTTAACCAATACCTGCTTCAATCTCATGAGACATCACTATAAATTTTTCACTGAGAGGGTAACACAATGAATGTAACATTTTAGGATTGTTATTCCAGTAACAGTGAGTGAACTAAATATTAGTGGGGTGAGTCAGAGAGACCAAACAGTACCATTTTGTAACATTCTGGAGGTGCAATGACAAGAGAGAGGGAGAGGAGACATAAACAAAGAAATATCAGAGTCACAACTGCCAGCAATCAACTACTGCTAGGATATAAGGAATGCACGAAAAAGAGGAATTTAACCCAACTTCCTGGCTTTCAACTCGGGCCCCAGTGGAATGGAGGTGGCATTAGTAGAAGTGACATTGTATGTACAGTTGAGATTGCACATCCACACACATCCTTAGGGTTTAGTCTGATGTTTTATAAAACCCTTGGGTTGTTGGTGAGACTGTGAAGGTAATGACAGGGGCCATGGAGCTTAGTTCAGAAAGAGCCAGAAGGAGCCTTCCTCCATCAGGTTTTAAGTCCCCAAGGAAGAAACTCTGCTCTTCTAAAGTCACAGTTCTGTAACAGGCAGGGTGATTTTCTTTCTGGGTTGCCCCCACACAGCACGCGTTCAGGTTGGGGCCATTGCAAGTCTCCATAGAGCTGACCTTAGGTAAATCTGGTTTCAATGAAGTCTATCTTAGATGACTCCTAATTTCACCCTCAATATTTTTTTATTTTTTAGTTTTATTTTTTAGAATTTTTTGTTGTAGATGGACACAATACCTTTTTATTTATTTATTTGTATGTGGTGCTGAGGATGGAACCCAGTCCTCACAATTGGTAGGCAAGCGCTCCACCACCGAACTACAGCCCCAGGCATGAACAGTCTTTTGTTTGTTTGTTTTTGTTTTTTAAACTCCCTGAAATCAAAGTCTCTTCTCAGAAAGTTCTGGTATTTTCTGAATGTCCTTTCCAACTTCTTCTAGCCTACCTCAGGGCCCAGATTTTTTACCTTTGGGTTTTACTCCTTTTGATTTTAGTCAGGATTTCTCTGAATTTTATTCTGATGATTTCCTGAAGGTATGGAGTTAAAGCCAGGAATGGGGTGGGGCATAGTGCATAGATGCTGTGATCTTCAGTGCCATTCATCTTTATATTTTCAATCCTTAACATGGTAGTTGGAGTGGATATATTTTTTGTGTGTGTGCCAAATAATATCGAATTTTAAAATAGCTAAGTTGAAGTATTGCAAAAGAATTTATGCTTTAAAAATTTTCTAAACATAAGCAAATTATTTGCCAGAAAAATAGTCAATTCTTATGATTATATTTTTAAAATGTTTCCTCTAAAAGAGAGGCCTAGAAAGCACATTGTATAAGGACTGAAGGAAGTGGGTATATTAGTGCTCTCTGGTTTTTTCCTTTCCTTCTTCAAAGTAAATCTTGGAATAATCTCTCCACAAATATTTTTTTAGTTGTTTACAATATTCTTCTTTATTTGTAATAATAAAACTCTACAATGATGATATTGTAATTTTTTTCTCCACAAATATTCTGAAGGATTGCTATGCAGAGTGGAGGGCAGAGCCAGAAGCCAAGGGTGGAAATGAAGGTGAGGCTTAACATTTTGGATCAACATTAGGAAAAACAAGACAAGTGGCAATGTTTAACGCTTGAACCAACAGCCTCCAATAGCAAGTAATACTCCTGTCACTGGAGGAGATGGCTCACCAGCTGCTGGTTCAGCTCCATAACCTCCAATATCCATTCTGATTAAATGAATATCTATGCTCCTTCTCTAAGCAGTGAGGTCCATCTTCCATCTTTATCTCATAGACTCATAGTCTCAAAGACTATAGACTTGAAATTCTGAAATTCACACATTTCAGAATGGTGCTGGTTAGAAATTTAACTATTTTCAAAACAGTTACAGAAAGTGTCCACAT